TACATATCCAGACTTCGTTATCACCTATACACATGATTTAATTAATCAATAATTCTATCAAATCATAAAAAAGAAAGGCACTCGCATCATATGTTATAGAAACAAAAAGAAAAAGTTTAACATCAATACTATTAATTTAAAATTTTTTTTTTTAGAATCAACATTCAAAGTTTAATTACCTATATAATATTTTTATAACTATATTAATCTATTTTTTTGTAATTTATATTATATTAAATTATAAAATAAAAACTCTTAAAAAAAAACCCGAGGATTTATTTTTTATACAAAAATTTTTATTTTAAAGTTTAATGCTGTTTAGATTATAAATTTTTTTTTCTCAAGTCTCAGTAATTCTATATTGCTGTTATTTTTTTAAAATAAAAAATAAACACTGCCTTTTCCGTGGTGTGCCGAATTTGCCCTTGCAAAAGAATTCTTGATTTCTGTCTCCCTCTCGTTTTTAATCCTCTTTTTCCGGTCTCATCGACGGAGAACCGCCGAGCTCCGCCCACCGGCGAGTGGGGAGACTGATGTCTCGTGCTCGGTATCAGCGAGGAGATTTCATGGAGGCTTTTACGAAAAAATCTATACACGCATGGAGAGGTGGCAGTACTCCGTTGGCGGAAAGCTATGCGAAATGTTGCCGATTCCTCCGGTTGGGTTGGGTTTTCAGTGGTGGAAGGTGATACATTTTAAAGTTTTGCTTCTCTAATTTGTGAAATTTCCTGATAATGATGCTGTTATTTTCACTATTAATTTTAAGGTTAAAACAACAATAACTCCATGTTATTTGCATTAGATAGATTAATTTGAGAATTAATTAGTTCTAAACTTGCAGTCTCTTCTGTGGATTTACCTGTAATTTCTTGAACTATTCTATAAACAAACCTGTTGAGTAAAATAAATTGACAGGGTAAGAATGGCTTTTTTTATTGGCTCCAATGTCAAGCAATTAACATGCTTGACATTGTTAATAACTTAAGTAGTTAAGTGGTAATGATCTCTGGTGGACGGTAGAAGTAAAAGGTCTTGAGTTTGAGTTCGAATTGTACAGTATGCAACTGGGTGGGGTGGAGTGGGGTGGGTTAAGGAGTGAAAGAAGTTGTCTCTTATTCTGCAGCTCAAAATAAAAAATATGGTATTTTTTGTTGACCCCAATGTCAAGCAATTAACATGCTTAACCTTGTTAACAACCTAAGTGGCTAAATAGTAATCTCCTTATCGTGAAAGTAAGAGATCTTGAGTTTGAGTTGCATAGCATGCGGGTGAACTGGGTTGAGAAATGGGAGAGGTTGCTTCTCATTGTGCAATCCAATATCAAAAGAAATGTTGTTTGACCTCCCTTGTCGTCTTCTCCGTGGATGTATAGCTAAATTTATATATCAAAGAATTTCATTTATTTAGTAAGCTAGATTATGAAATAAACATTTTGACGCGTGATCTTGCAAATGGTAATTAATAAGCATAATCTAATTTTCAATCTCATTATTTGTGATAGGTAGGCATATCTCAGCACCGGGAGGGTTGACTACTAATAATAAATATTGGAGAAAACAAATGTGAAATTTAATATTGAGAATAAGAGGGTTGTTAAAGAATTGGCCTTGATGGGTATATCCATTAGATGATCCAGTGATTCTGTGTCTGTATTGGCTCATTAAGGTATAAATAGTCCTTCTGTCTCCATGCTCAGAATACTACATTTTCTTTTCTTCATTACTCTTCCCTCCCCCTAGCAAGAACTCTTCAAGGGAGTGTAGGTAAGATCCATCATGTGCATCTTTTTTTAAGTCATAGTGGTACTTCTTCTTAGTAGAAGTTATAATGGTACTGTGATTTCTCCTTTAATTATGTTATGCCTAAGGTGGAGTATATCCCATGTTGATGAACAAGCCAGCTAGTTAATTACCCAAGAATATTCCTTGTCAATTTTGGCTTCATTTGTCACTCAATGTTCTTTCTCCTTTAAGCCATATCAAAGTCTAGATAGTGATATATGAGAAACTAATTTCAATTGCTAGGATGTTAGAAATGATAATATGTTGAATAATCAATAATCATTGATTCATAGCTGAAATATGTAAAAGGTGGTTCATTGTTGTAGGATGGAATTATCGATTCCATTGACTGCTTAGTTGTTGGAGGCAAAGTATTCAATTTCTATTGTGAATTACTTTGAAATTTTTGCTAATTCATCTCCAACATGTTCTTATGCAGAATTGTCAAGGAGGAAGCAATTTGATACAATAATTTGCATCATTCTGCAGCCATGGGTAAAGAACAATTGGGAGTGCTTAACGCTCTCGATGCGGCCAAGACTCAGTGGTACCATTTCACTGCAATTGTGATAGCTGGGATGGGATTCTTCACGGATGCATATGATCTTTTCAGCATCTCCCTAGTTACCAAATTGCTCGGACGTATATATTACTATACTGAGGGGCAAAAAAGCCCGGGCACACTCCCTATAAGTGTCAATGCTGCTGTCAATGGTGTTGCATTATGTGGCACTCTAGCTGGTCAGCTCTTCTTTGGGTGGCTTGGTGACAAGCTGGGACGGAAAAGTGTCTATGGGGTAACTCTAATACTAATGCTTGTCTGCTCTACAGCCTCGGGGCTGTCCTTTGGGAGGCATGCAGGGGGTGTCATGGCAACACTTTGCTTCTTCAGATTTTGGCTTGGTTTTGGCATCGGAGGTGATTACCCTCTTTCAGCTACCATCATGTCTGAGTATGCAAACAAAAGGACTCGTGGGGCATTTATTGCTGCTGTGTTTGCAATGCAGGGATTTGGAATTTTGGCTGGTGGAGTAGTGTCTCTTTTTGTGTCTGGTTTATTTAATAAATGGTATCCAGCTCCTGCTTTCCAGCAAAATGGAATAATTACTGGAAGCAGGTCCACTGTGCCTCAGGCAGACTATGTCTGGCGGATAATTCTTATGTTTGGTGCTCTCCCTGCTTCTCTTACATATTACTGGCGTATGAAGATGCCAGAAACTGCCCGGTACACTGCCCTTGTTGCAAAGAATGCCAAACAGGCTGCTACTGACATGGCAAGGGTTTTGCATGTGGACATTGAACCAGAGGAAGATAAGGTCACAAGGATAGTTGATGATCGAGCAAATTCCTTTGGCTTGTTCTCCGGTGAATTTGTGCAGCGACATGGTCTCCATTTGCTTGGAACTACCACCTGTTGGTTCCTTGTAGATGTTGCTTATTACAGTCAAAATCTGTCCCAAAAGGACATTTTCACTAACGTTGGTTGGCTTCCCTCAGCAAGTAAGATGAATGCAATTTATGAGGTCTACAAAATTGCAAGGGCACAAACTATTATAGCACTATGTGGTACCATTCCGGGCTACTGGTTCACAGTGGCTCTCATTGATAAAATGGGGAGGTTTAAAATCCAATTGATGGGTTTCTCCTGCATGACAATCTGCATGTTTGCGCTTGCCATACCTTATAACCACTGGAAGGACCATAGCCATACTGGATTTGTTATCATTTACGCTCTCACCTTTTTCTTTGCAAACTTTGGACCCAATGCCACAACATTTGTTGTCCCAGCAGAGATCTTCCCTGCAAGGCTAAGGTCAACATGCCATGGGCTATCAGCTGCAACTGGAAAGGCCGGTGCCATAGTTGGTGCATTTGGGATCTTGTATGCTTCTCAGAGTCCGGATAAATCACAGAATGGAGGGTACCCAGCAGGCATTGGAATGAAGAACACACTTATTGTGCTCGGTTGCGTCAATGCCCTCGGAATATTCTTCACTTTCTTCGTGCCTGAAGCAAAAGGAAAATCACTTGAGGAGATAACAGGTGAGGATGAGACCGAAAATGGTGATGTGGAAATGCCTCAGGCTCATCCTTCTCGGGCCAATTACCTATAATTTGAACAAGTTAGTTCATTAAAGTTTGTCACAAATGCTATATGCGTGTCCTAAGTTCTATCTTTAGTTAGGTGTGGTTGGTTTCGTTTTCCTTCCCTGGTGTGTTGGTTTTGCAATTTCTTGTCAATTTATGCCAAATGGATAATAAGGCATGTACCTAGCCATTTGCTCTGGAGTCTGGTCTGGGTACCATAATCATTGGATGTGTGTGTACTATCATTTTGGTCTACTTTTCTTTGTAATTAATTTCACAAAAATTTCCTGTCGAAACTATAAATGTTTATGTATCTTTTTTCTTTTGGCTATGAATTTCGTTTTGAAGGGATGAATGGTGAACTGTAAGGTCTTATGCACTTCAACTCCCAAGTTTTAATAAAGCTACACATAATTATCACTTTCTGCATCACTTGATTACCGTTGGAGAATAATGCCATTAGAAGTGTAGGTTTAAGTTGGATATTTCATGTTCAACCATTGAGACAAATATGAAACATGAAGAGGTTAATTTAGATAGAAGACACTATCTGAAAGAAATCGTTGTTCTATAACCCACAATATTAATACATTTTTGTGCAAATTTGGTTTTAAAAAATCGCAAATAACTTCATATGATGTTTGGATTAACATACATCTATGAATCGAGCTGATAACATTGATGTTATTTTCAAAATGACATATCCGGCATGCATGCTGTTTGCCTGGTTTTGGAATCCATGCTTAATGTCTAATTCAGGCAGCATAAGCCAAAGAGGCTTCATGCATGCTTAATGCTTTGTTAATATATTTAAGTGTTTAATCTATAGTACAAAGGGTGAAACATGCTCAAATGTTTTTACTTGCTGACAGCAAAATATATGCAAGCTATAGCCTATAAAACAAAAGTCAGCCCTAAAATTGATTATTATTATTTTTTATTAAATTAAGGAATTGAGATGGAACCTGCGGTATCACCAATCTTCATTACTTCTTCTCTACTCGAAAAGGAAAATTATTAACCATAGTATTTATTTGTTCTTAATTGAGCAAATACTTGAAAAAAAAAAAAACAAATATATAAGCAAATAAGAACACCATTTTATTCTTTAAAAAATTGTTTACGTAGTATGCACTATAACAAACTGTATAATACATATAATTAGATAAAAAATCATTTCTCAATAATAGAAATTTTTTTCCCATCTAATAATTTTTATCTTATAATCTAAACTACAAAATATGTGACTTTATTCGCATCAATGGATAAGAAAGCAATACAGACTCCAACTTGTAACCACTTAATTAGAGGACATATTTTCCAATCCCGTGTATTGGGTCCAATTCCCCACTCAAGTTGATGAGAAAAGGGCAGGCCACAATGGAGTTTCACATCACCTTAAAAAGAAACGCAATTTCCTAGTTAGTTCCACTACTTGTCAAGCCAATTTTCGTTCTCTTCTTCTTTCATTTACACCTGAAAGGTATCCGGTTGTAAAGTGCATGGTAGGTTCGTGCAGTCAATTGTGAGTAAACGGGTAAAAGTGTGGGTCTTTGAGGATAGGATTGAATTAATGAATCTTATGGTATTCGTTGTTGGAGTAGACTTCCAAGTCTTTGGCTTCTCTTTCGGGCGCCCCTTTGCCAAAAAGGACAAGCAGAGTTGACAGAAAGAGTAGACTGTGTGTGAACAACGCTTGGCTTATACTAAAAAATAAAAAAATCCGTTTTATTCAATTTTGGGATGTGAATGGGATCAGGGGAATGATTTTTTAGCTATATCAGTACTACATAGCAACCTCTAATCAAGTTGGTGAAACCACTGGCAAATTAAATGCGAATAGCTTTGAGAAAGGCTTAATGTCACTATATATTCCTCAACTTTGCAAAATGAATCATTGTCATCCTTCTTTAAAACAAGTCATAAACATCCCTAAACTTTTGAGAAAGGGCCAAGCGTCATCCCTCGTCATAACTCCATCCACACCTCCGTTAAAATGCTCTAAATTTTAATGGTAAAATGACATATCTTGTCTCTCAACTATCAGTTTATGTGCACTTTGATCCTTAAACTTAAGATTTATTCTATTTGGTCCCTAATTTCAACTTTTTTTTATTACAATTTAGTTCTTAAAATTTTGAAAGAGATGCACTTAAATTTCAAATTTTGCATGTCAGTCCTTTTTTTGCACAAATAACAATAATTATGTAACCTTCAATAACATCACAAACAAGTATTCAATTTGTTCAAATATAAATAAAATTAAATCTGAAATAGTAAACTCAAATATATAAAGGGAACTCTATTTTATAATCTAAACTACACCTAACTATAAAATATGAGCCATTAATCTCTATTTAATTATTAGTGTGCAGTTTAGCACAATCTAAAATGCACAACACTTTTTTTATATATAAAATTCATATCATCAAAGTGTAAAATCAAAGAATTTAGTGGAGCTGGGCACCAATTTTGAAAGGTATAGAAGCCATTTTTGAGCCCGATCAATGGTAAGTTTTGGGATGAGCATGCATATGAGGAACAACTGTACAATGTCCCACCCAATAAAGTGGAAGTTAGGTTTCGAATAATATCTTTTTACTTGTGGCTAAAGATATGATTATAGCGACCTATTTATTTGTTAAAATTATTTAAAAGTTATTTAATTTTATTGATATTTTATTTATTTGTAGTTTTTTCTTAAACAATTAGTTATGATATCTGAAAATATTAGTTTATAAATTAATTTTAATATGTTAAATAATAAATATCAATTATCAATTATTTTTAAAAATAAAATTAAATAAAATTGAATAACTTTAATAAAATAATAGAGGATCATAACCACACCCATAACTATGATTAAGTCTATAAAGAACAGTTGAATAATTAGAAGAGGCAAAACAATAGTGGGTTTCATCCAAATCTCTCAAGATGGGAGGGAGGGAGGAAAAGTCTAAATGATCCTATACTCCAACTTATAGTTGTGGCCTTCAAACTGGGGGGAAAGCACTATTGACTAAGAGCTATACCTAATTTGACAATCTATCTCCACAGCAACATAAATTTCTTAATAAAAGATATACGTAAGGTGATCTCTAAAATACTCCTAACCAACATAAGCTAGATGGTGGAACTTGTAATAAATTAAGCTCAGTCTATAATCTATACCTCTTGCTATGGAATTAATTAAGGTTACAAAGTCAAAAGAAAGGAGGAAAAAAAAAAAAAGGAGTTTGATTTTATCTAAACTAAAGTTGAGTGAAAGCATTATCATGAAAGTTTTTTTTTTTTTTTTTTTTTTAAAGTGATAAAGTGGGATCTGTTTGGTTGTGGTATTCTTTCCCCTTTGGCTTGTTTTTCATGCCCCAGTTGACTTCATGAGTGACTAAGAGAAATCAATCGAAATATTCAATTGTGACGGCCATATTGGTAATGGAAATGTTGGGACCAGGGTCAAAAGCACGCAGTAGCCCCTGCTATTTATAGAAAGGAAAAACCAAAGAAAATATCAAGGATACATAAATAATAATGTTGGTATATAATATATACTAGAAGTACTTGCACTTTCCTTTGATAAGGACTAAAATTGGCTTAATAATCATAGTTTTGAGTCATGCAGAGCAAATCTTTCCTAACTGGATAGAACCTCACAACCCCCAACCCTTCTTAAGCCTTCAAACTTACCCCAAAATAATATTTAAGCCTCTAAACTAAAAATAAAGCAAATAAGCTAACTCACTAATGATGCGAATAAACCCTTCTCATTCATAGGCATTCATGCTTTCAAGGTATTTTAAATATGAAATACCGTTTAGCTCATTTGTTAGAAGGGCCTATTTGTATCATTAGTGGAGTTGGTGGGCTTATTTGCTTCCTTTTTAGTTTAAAGGCTTAAATGCTATTTTGGGATAAGTTTGGGGCTTAAGAACGGTTTTTGCCTTTCTTTTTCCACTAGAAATATTTATATACTTGTGAAATGAGAAATTTGAATCTAACACCACAACCATTACTTCACTAGTCAATCAAATTAGTTTTTTTATTTACAATTATATTGGATACATTTAACTTTAAAAAAAAAAAAAAATTGGATGATCTTGAGTCAATTTTTGTATATTTTAAAATTAATCTTCAGCAAATATTTTAAGATTAATTTCTAGTGATATTAGGAGTATATGTGCAATATTGATATGATATATTCAAAAAAATTAATTTTTTTTAAATGTATATAATTTACTTAACAATATGTAAACGAATCTTTGAGAAAGGAAGGACTTATCCTTATTGTAGAGCCCATCATCAATGACAAAATGAATCTTTGCGCATGGCACTCAATTGAATAAATAGAAAGTTAAATACTTTTTTTGGTCCTTCTACCATGGAAAAATGCCCCATTTTAGTTCCTATATTGAAAAAATCTCATTTTTGATCCCTAAAGTTTGAAATCTGACTCCTTTTTAAGACCTCTATTAAGTTTTGGCTAACGTGAAATGTTAATTAATGGAAAAACTTTTTTTTTTCTTTACTTAAATTACATGGAAAATTTCATCAAGTAAAAGTTGATGACATGACTAATTTTTTTATCTAATATAACCTTGAAAATCACTTAATTACATAATTACCATTATAAATATTTTAAAAGTTATTTTGTAATTAAAAGTAATTGACTTTAATTACTCATTTGCCCCCATCTTCTTCTCCCTTGCATTGGGTTCATTGCGCCTAGCTCCAGCCATCCATTTCTTTTGGCTAGCATCAATAGGTTGACGCTCCCAAAGATAAAAGCAAGCATGATCTTTCTCTAGGTTTAGTAGCTTGAGTTTTAGTGAAAGTGACTATGAGAAAAACAAGTTTTTCATATAAAGTCTAGCTCCATCAAAGGACTTTTCAACGTTAAGGTTCCATTTGCTACCAGGATAATCCAATTTAGTCATGTATAGAGGGACACCTATGGAAATTTCCAATTTGCATGATTCATAAGCAAATTAAAGGATCTACTCACTCTCAATCTTCTCCTCCAAGACTAACACTGATTTCATCAATTAAAAGCAAAAAAATCTCACAGTAAATGTGCACAAAAAACAAATAACATAAAGATTAAGATCCAATTCTTTGAATGATCAAATCAATAGTAGAAATTCAAAAACTAAATCAAAATCCTTCATACTCAGAATCAGTAGATGCAAGCTAAATGCACAACAGAAGAGATCCAAATCTCCAGCTACAATACTCAAAATTGTTCTTAGGAACGATCTAATCATCAAACGAAGATGGAGTTAGATCTATGAAACCAAGAGCTGGGTTCGCGATGAACCCAGCAACGGTAAAAAAAAAAAAAAAAAAAAGGCTAGGGGAAGACAGAAGGCGCTAGGTTTGCGACAAATCCAATAAAGGTTAAAAAAAAAAAAGGGGCCAGAGGAAGACATAAGGGTAAGAAGATGGGGGTAAATAAGTAATTAAAGTCAAGTACTTTTAATTATAAAATAACCTTTAAAATATTTATAATAGCAATTATGCAATTAAATGATTTTTAAGGTTATATTAGACAAAAAATTTAGCCATGTCATCAACTTTTACCAGATGAATTTTTCAACGTAATTTAAGTAAAGAAAAAAATAAAGTTTTGTCGTTAATTAACAAGCAACATCAGACAAAACTTAACGGAATGACTGAAAAGGAATT